TGGTTCTGGGGAACCTACACATTATGATGTGTTGGGATGAGGGTATATATATATATGTTTTAAAAAGATCTGAAAAGTTACATGGTTTTTGGGAACACACTAGAAAACCTATTATGATCTCCTGAACTCAATCATCCAAAATATTTCTCTGAACTGAAAGCTCATTGTCCGTTACCACCTGAAATATCAGTAGGATCTTTGCTCAGCATAAAAATCTGTAAATGTTCGGAAACAATAAGGAAATATATGTTTATTTGTATCTGCACGTTCATCAGCATCATCTGGTAGTTCTGTATTACTGAGCTTTCCAAAGCTCACTCTATTACTCACCTTTTCAGGTTAAAAGAATTGTATCAGTGCATCTATCGACTTCAGTAAGGGAGTTTTTCGGCGTTGTTGCAGGAATGGTACATGTGATTAGGGGGCATGTAATTGTATTTGATTTATATACGAGTCTGAAATCTGTTTTATTTTTAAATAGTGACAACTGATTTTAAGTTACATGTTTCAATAAAAGTTTTAAATTTTCCGCTATTTTTACAGTGGGTCACTTCGGTGGCCCTAATGTGACTTTCTGGATCGGATCGGATCGGATCCTCTGCATCGGTCTAGGGAGTTACATTGTAAGTTACTGTGGAATAATCAAAACTATTCATTATACATTTTCATCATAGATGATTATATCTATTCATCATGAATAAGCATATTCAATGAACAGTCATTTACATCCATATAATAGGTTGATGAAAAAGTACACATATTTATGTTTAGATTATAATATTCAACAACGACTGTGTTTTAAAGGTGCGGTACATTTGCCCTTACTGCTTTCAATTATCAAACAAGAAACCTGTAAGTTACTATTAATAAAAAATCATAAACGTTATCTTTAATACAATTTTCAAAAAATACTTTCTCAAAAGATAAATAACATAGAATAAATGGAGTTTGATTTACTTTTACTCAACGCTAATGAAATCTAGAGACAGTGTTTGAAGCAGAATGTGAAGGTTGATAATTACGCTGCGGATTTTGATAGCAAATATCTTGGGGTTCGGGTCGTCCCTGCTCAACCCTAGACAAAAAGACCTTTGAATGTGCAGGTGGTTGCATGTGCGTGTACACTCCTCTCACGTGCATGCATGACTCATGCAAAAAAAATTTCCAACCAAACCCATTAATAAATTAATAAATAAATGTTTGAACATGAAAAACCAAGTTTAATCTTTTAATTTTATAAAAAAAAAGATAGATCGGACAGTATAACAGGTAAATAAAATGAACATGACACGAAAATAAATTAAATGATGAAATGATAAAAAAGGGGTACATAAACGAGTCATTAAATTTTGAGTTAAGCTTTAGTTTTCAGCTTTGAAGTTTCAAAAGTAACAAAATAGTCACTAACATTATCATTTTGTAACAAATCGATTACTCAACCGTTAACACTCGTTAGTTAAGTCACGAAAATATGATGTGGCAGTTAGGGAAGCTGAATTGGCATCTTTTTTACCATGATGGTCGTACTTTGACCTGTATTTTGACTCACTTTTAATATAAAAAAATCTAAGTTTATCTTCTTATTCTTTTAAGGATTTTTCTGGTATGTTGGTCATTCCGTTCTATCGTCTCTTTGGTTTTCTGGTATTAATATGGTTGAGAGTGTTTGAGTGCTTCATACCATGTAATAAATCAATAGGATATTTGGTTCAAAAAAAGAAGTAAAACCACACATGTTTATCAAGGAAGCTAGGTCTCGTTATTTCCTTGTTAAATTCCATCCCTTTTCCTTATTGTTTACTACCCAAAACAAGTTCTTGAGCTACTGAGACATCATAACTTTTTTGCTCAACATGTTGTAGGTTTGTTAGTGACCATTTTATCACTTTCAAAACTTTAGTGCTGAAAATGAAAACTTAATCAAATTTTAGGGACCATTTATATAATTTACCCTAAAATATGATACAAATATATAGATATTTAAAATTTATGTAATATAAATATAAGTACATTAATAAAATTTTAAATTATTAATTAAACAGATTGAGTTATATTATATTCATGTTTATCGACAGATCCATAAATATATTTTTGGTGTGAGCACTCAAAAATAGAGTGAAAGATTTGTGCGCCTTGTAAATGTTATTGCAAAATTGTAAACATATGTAGGGATGTACTGAGTAGTATTAAGGGATGTGATTATGTTTCTGAAATTTTAAATTTTTATATAATTTAAATATTTTTATATTTGTATTAATAATAAAATTTTATAATTTTACATCCTCAACCTTTCCGTAAAAATATAAAAATTTATATCTCTAATATAAAATTTTGCATAGTACATAATATACTTATGTAAAAAGAAATGAAGTTTCTCATTATATGTCTATCTATATTGATTATTTATTCAGAATCTTTTTTAACTATTAATAACTAACACATTCTGCATATATAATTGTTTAAACCCAAAATTTTAATATTCTTAAAAAGATTGATGATCATTTAATGGGTCTGTATAGCGTTAATTTTATTAAAATGTGATGCAATAATTCAATATAATTTGTATAATAAGGATTATAATTAAATATGATATAATATGTAAAAAGATGTTATAAATTATTTCTAAATTAAAAATACGACCCATACGATATTTTTGTATAAAATTTGAATCTGAAAATTCAAAATTCTAAAAAAATATAAAAGAAGGGAATAAATAAATAAATAAATAAATAAATAAATGTATAAGCAGATCTCTAATCTGACGTCACTCTGTTCTAAACAAAGCCTTTTTTTAATGCTTCCTTGTTCATTGTTTTCTGCATAAACTAATTGTTTTTACTGTCTTCAAGGAATACTTTAAAAAAATCCCAGAAGAGCTGAGATTCCTTTTCATTGGACACAACACTTTAAATCTCATTACCATTTCGAGATCAGATCAAAGGTGTTTACAGTCAAAGAAAGCAGTCAACAATCCTCCCAGATTTCACACCATTTTTTTCACAAGACTTTCCCGGGAAAATCTTCAAAGTTTCCAGAGAGAAAAGGACCAGCCAGTTCAGCCCAGGCAATAGGTAAGCAATCTTTTACGTAGTTTCTCATATATACATTTACTGAAAATGAATTACAGATTAGTGTAATTTGTTGAAAATTAGTACATTACAGTTTTCATGGATTACAATGCCTGGATCCACCGTAGCCTTTACCCCATGTACCTTTAGTCTGATGAAAGGGCTACAGATTTTAAATTCATATATAATTTATACGTTTCCTTTATATTTTACATTGATAATTTAATTTTATACTCATAAATTATTGATATAATTTTTTAAAATTTTATATCGGACACTAAAATTATAAATTCATCACTGTATTTAATGGATCCCACTTCAAAAATTTATATGTATTCACATTCTCAAATTTAAATCATATGCTCCTTTATTATTATAGAATATTTACGTAGCTTCAATTTATATTTTTAATAATAAATTTAATATATTTTTCAATTTAGATTGTCATATTTTTCATTTTATTCGATTTGGTCTTACTATAGTTTTTTACAAATTTTTTATTTCCGTCAATTTTTTGACTCATTTATACTCTCATCAATACTTTGTTCTCAAAATATATTTTTAAATTTGAATAATAACTCAAACAACTCGATTAGACTCGAAAATTTTCAAAAAGTTTGAATGATAAAATAAGATTCGTCAATTCAACTAACTCAATTTTTTTTTGAATTAACTCGATTCAATCGAATACTCACCCTACCGACCACCAACAATTTCCGCGCGTGCGTTTCACCTCATTTATTCAAGTGTTCAAATTATTGCATGGCTTAAAATGCATGCAATGCAAGTTCCCCGCTTCAATGCCTTTCCCTTTATATATATCGAAATAGAGTAACTTTTATTCTTTTAACTTTGCAACTTTTTGAATTTGGTCCCTAAGAATTTTGGTCCACATAAGTATCATTTTGATGTTATAAAACTTTAAGATTTACCACATGTCACACTCTTAAAATGTCACGTCGACAAAATAACAATAATAATAATCAAATTAGGATTAGTGTAAAAAATATTAAGTTACAATTTTTTTACCAAATTTAAGGGCTAAACTATTTTTCTTTTGAATTAGAAAATATCTGATCTTACAAATTACCGGTTGGTTTAGTGAGATAATGCACTAGATACCTTACGCAAAGTCAAAGGATGGAACTCTGGCGTTTGCGAATGGAGCAAACTGAGTTGGGAGAATTGCCCTTGCCTCTGTAGTACCTGATCTGGATTAATCGGTCAAAAGATTAGATACTAGTGATTAATTAAAAAATATAATCTTAATTGAAATATGCCTATTTTATTATTTATGTATATACTTTTTTTATTAAAATATAATTTAATATTTCATTTCGTTATATTTTTAAATTCTTCTATTACGTCCCTTAATAAGTAAACAAATTAGACACCTAATATACAAGAACGAAGCTATACGTAGTCCCGGGGGGGACTCCCTCAATTTTTTATTATTAAAAAATATATAAGGATAAATGTCTATTTTAACCTTCAAGTTTTGATTTATTTTGATTTTATTCCTCTCATTTTTTATTATTAACTATACTTTGTCTCCCTTAAATTTACTCCGTCTCCATCCCTATAATATATATATATATATATATATATATATATATATAAACAATTATTTTGCAAACTTTAAACAATTGTTTTTAACCTAAAATTTAAGAATTGAAACTAATAAAATATGAATGAAATGGTAAACAATTAATTTAATAATGTAGAGGCTTATATAATAATATTCTATTCAATCAATGTTTAAGATTTTGAGAGATGATGAAAATCAAATGGTTTATTTAATGTTTTTTTTTTGTATATTTTTTTTTAAATAAGCAAAGAGTGAAGAGATCCAATGGAGAATTCATCACGTATAGGAAGGAGACTAGTAGGAGCCACAACGTGGAAGAAGAAGGAGGAGGATGCCATTGATGAATCCGGGATTTAACCAAGTGTTCTGGCAAGTATTGTCGATCATGCACCGCCGGGGTAATTGCCGATTGTGTGGCACTCTGTTGTTGCCCTTGCGCTTTGCTTAACCTCTTGACGCTCGCATTAGTTAAAGTCCCGTGGAAGATCGGGAGGAGGTGTTTGGCGTTCGGGAAAAAGAAGAATCAGATGAGAAGAAACAAGGTGAAAACGGAGAGAAAATTCAAGAAAAAGTGTTGCGATTGTAGTGAAGTCGAAACCAGTTCGAGAGGGAAAAAGAGAGGATTCTCGATGGTGTTTGGGGAGGAAGAAAATTCCGATGACAATGATGAAGAGGAAAATCAAGAAACGGGAAATTCCAATGCGAGATTTGAAGCTGAAAAAGTTTGGTTAGAATTGTATCAAGTCGGTCATTTGGGATTCGGTAGGGTTTCTTTCACCGATACTTGAATAGTATTTTTCTGTTTGGTTCTCGAGAAAACGAAAAGCGTGAAATACATCGTTGTTTTGGACTGTAAAGTTTTCATTATTATTTTTTTAGTTGATTTAGTGTGGGAATTAAGACAAAATCTAATATGGGATTTTATCCACTTAGAGTAGTACATAGTGATTTGTAAGAAAGAAATGTGACTTCACCTTTAATTGTAATTAAAATTTTATATTTAATTCAGTGCAAATTTTAAGTATTTATAAGATTTGATGTTTCCCACCTGTCGTATAAATATGTTAACCGTAATTCAACGATAAAATAATCATACTTTAAAATTTTAACCTTGAGTCTAAACAATGAGGAGAAATATGTATATTCTTCTTTTATTAACAAATCCTCCCATTAAGGAGAAATTCATTAATTTGAGTATTAAAAGTATGAAATTTAAATTATAGATATTATCGAATCGAACCCATATAATAATAAAATTCTAATGGTAAGAAATTAGAGTTTGATGGAGTAAATCAAATTAATCGAATTCAATAAGTCTTTCTCAAATAGAATCATTCTTGGGATTAAATTAATTAATCTTTTATAGTAGTAAGTCCATCTAATCTTTCTCAATAGGATCATCTAAACTCTAAGCTATGAACTCGTTAAGGGTAGTTATTCAACCAAAATGATAAATTTATCGTCTTTTTCACTAAGGCCACCCAAACCCTCGGATATGAATTTATTAAGAGAAAAAAAAGCACATCCTTATGCGTGTACATTATTCATCATAAGGAAAGACATAAATATACTCTATGAGTCTTTTTATGATTTCGTTTCTCACATTAAACTTTGATAACTAAGTTGTGTGTCAACCATTAATTCTTCAACCAATGGACTTTAGGTTCATCTCTCTCGACGAATCTATAACCAATTTTTGATTTAATCCTTTGGTAGGCGGATTAGTTAGGTTCCTATCCGACTTCGCATACTCTAAAAAGAGTACTACATTCTTTATTAAATGTCTTATGTGAATTGTCTTTTCCTACCATTGTAAGCTTGACTATGAGCCACACATATGGTTGCTTGTGAATCGCATAATAAAGACATTAAAGGAGTCGGTTTTTCCCATAATGGAATTTCTGTTATCTAAGTCACTTGGCTTTTTTCTCGGCTAGGTCAAGAGCAATATACTCTGTCTTTGACTTCATAGAAAAATGAGCAATGCACGTTTTCTTGAAAAACTTTATGAAATTATTACTCCGCTTCTAGTAAAGATATACTCACTCGTAGAACTTACCTCATCATTATTAATAACCCAATTAACCTTGCAGTATCCATTTAAGACAACATGATAGTCAACAAACTCTGGTTTTCAATCCATTATATCTTTATGGTACTTTAGTAAGTATTTGAGCATACTTCTTATAACTACCCATAAAAGCAATCTCAAAGTCATGGAATTTCTTAATTTTTTTTGGGTGTTTGCATCATTTTTGTTATTTGTATCGTATTAATTTTTTATTTATCATTTATAAACTTGTTATTTATATTTTATTAATTTTTTAATTATTAATTTAACAAATATTTTAATGTTAGAGACCGACTTAAATTTTATTTGATCAAACCCGAAAGTCTCTGTGAAATTTGTTTTTTTTTTTAAATCCGATAGTATGCTCATAATGTGAGCCCATTAACACGTCTTCCATCGCAACCGGTTATCATCACCGGCATTATTATTCCTTTGCATAACACTATAGGCTGATGAAACAGGAAGTTTCAAGGCTGCAATGCCCACACAAGCCCCATCCCACAAGTCCTTAAACTTGGACCAATTCCATTCCCAATCATCATTTACCATTTCCCGAGTCGCAAGGCCGAAAGGTCATTCTAAATCTCCTCCCGAAACACACCAAGCCCTTGCCAAAGACGAGACAGTATCTACAATCTATGAGAATACAACCATACCATCTACAGATCAAAAGTAAATCGACCACTTACATTTTAATTTTATTCCGAGTTGGAAGAGCGAATTAAGAACATGAGAAACGGAAAGAGATTGTAATTATATTACAATATCCTGTGGCTGTGGGTGTGGGTAAATTACAACAAAGTTACATTACATGAGACTCAACCTCAACTCGAGCATTATGGCGTCACAAAATTGGGGCTCCTGTCACAAATTAAGAACATGAGAAACGGAAAGAGATTGTAATTATATTACAATATCCTGTGGCTGTGGGTGTGGGTAAATTACAACAAAGTTACATTACATGAGACTCAACCTCAACTCGAGCATTATGGCGTCACAAAATTGGGGCGTCCTGTCACAGGGCTTTTTAACACACGGCCATTTATTTATGCTACATAATATATGATAGTAAAGGTATATTATAATATATGGTACACTCGAAAATAATACAATAATAAAAGGCACTCTTAGTCGTATACCTCATCTCAAACAACTTTTAGGAACCTTTATGAACCCTAAAGTACTGACATCGAAACATAATCAGAGGCTGTTCGATCAACATCACCACCAAGCTTTTCAATTTTTTTCTGTTTGTTTCAAACCCTTCACTTTGTTGGCCAATGCTTTATTTAACTGTTTCTCTAACTACAACACGAGAAAATCAACTCAATCTCCACTCACTGATATATATATATATATATATTGCAATCAATATGTGAACCAAACACTTGTATCCGGAACATATTAGGAAATAACTAGGAGAATACGAAGGTATGATAAGCTAGAAAACATTGAGCATACCGGGGTTTGACACATACATGCATTAAATAGACTGAAACAACAGAAGTGATTGGGTATACATGTAAAATCCTTCGAGTTCATTAATTTTCTATTCCTCAGTTTGGTCTACTAAAGGTAGATTGATGCTGGAAAGTGACTGCAAAACAGCTGTGGAATGGATCCAGAAGCCTTGTCTTGCCCCTGTGTACTTTAGTAATTTAATTAAGGAGATTGAGTTTTATGTACCGTCTAGGGCGTTGTTAGTGAAGTTAATTCCTAGGGGTTGTAATTGGGAGGCTGATAAGTTAGCTAAAGAAGGGATTGGGTGATTGTTTGCTGTTTTATAGGATGTTCTTGCATCTTTTGAGGACAGCCTTTTCTGATGTTATGTAAAGGTTTACTGCTGTATTTATGAAATATCAATAAAATGAGGTACACTCTTTTCCTCCTTCCGCTAGTTGCCTCTTTCCTTTTGGAAAGGGTCAATTATGAAGGGGTTTTTTTTAATGAGACATCCTACTTCTATAAAAAAAAGTTCATTAATTTCAGAACATGAAACCTATGTAACCCAACTTAAGGGTGGATGCCGGATACAACTATGCGTTAGAAACATGTATGCTCAAAATTTTCCCATTTGGGAGATCATACTATCATAGTCTCATAACAATATCTTATGTGCAATACACATATCAGAAACAGACACTTTCAAGGAAAAAGCACAAACCTGCATGTTCTTCATTTTCTGTCTCTGCAATTCCTCAACCAGATTCCCAATACTGAAAAAAGAAATTAAGTTTTAAGTAAAATGTGAAGAAAGAAAATCCATACTGTGTGCTTCATTTCATACCTCTGTTGCAGATGAAGCACCTGAGATTGCAGCTCTCTTTCCCTTGCAGAAGAAGGCGGTATCTAGAAATACAATTAGATAACTTGATCAGTACTTAAGAAAAATAAAATCTTTAACAAATACATGCCTATACAAGAACCCGAGCAAAGCTCAGTCGGTTCATTCTATAACACTTAAGTGGTGGTATTTAGCAGCACTCAAATTAAAATCCCAGAATCCGCAATCTCCTCCCTATCCCTAGGTCGATCTTTTATATTAAAAAAAGGATGCCTGTATGAGAGAATAAATCTCTGCATGAGCAAAACCTTGCATTGGCATAACCCGGAACCCATTTCATATGAAAGGTCATATGGTTACTGAGAAGTTAGGGTTAATTAATTACCTGCAAAAGGTCATTGGTACCTACCTCTGACAAGTCCACAAGCTTACCTGTATAAGAGATTTAAAATTTAACATCGGAATTTCTTCCACAGTTAAGCAGCAGAAACACACACACTCCCCCCCACCCCACCACCACCACCACCAAAAAAATAAGGTGTAGAGGCACTACCAGAATTTTGCTCCAAATACTTGATCAGTCTAATGATTTCTTCCTGTCAACAATCATCGACAAAGGAACTTGTTTATAAGACAGGCACTCTATGACATGAGATGAGAGGTAAGAAAACAAACATACCCTTTGCATGGTGTTATGTTGCAAAATGCCTTGTAGAGATGGGAGAACTGCACTTGCTCTAAGGTTTGGAGATGTTGGACAGGCTGAACCTCCAGTGGCCGGGTTAAACGTGCAGCTAGTAGGTCCCTGAACGAGAGAAAATAATGGCAATGGTTACAAAGCCATTGCCTAAATGATAAATTGCTAAGTTTCATCCTTCTTGTTCAAAGGTATAAGCCGCAAAATTTTCAAAGGTACCAATCCAGATATTAACGGAGAGACTTAACCAAAAGCAATGAAGCCTTACACGAGAAACAGAGTTTAAAAAGATTACACATATCCACAAGGATAAGAACACGAAATGGATAAGCAACACAAGCCAACCATACATAAAGAAACAACAAAAGATAAGAAACTAACCTCTGCAGAGGAATCATTTAGAATAGCCATAGCCCTTTAGTGGAAGTATGATTTATTAACAGATAATGGCATTAGATGCATGTCAGTATGTTACATGATGACTAACAAATGGTGGTCAGTTATGTGGATAATTATCAAAACAGATAAATTTCACTCGGTAAATTATAAAAGGCACAGAGAGATATAGACTCTCCATATATGTGTAAACTGTCGACTGTGCCATATATTTCAAGTAGAGACCGTTATTAGTACAAAATTGCATGTTATTGGCTTATAGCATAAGATTGTAACCATCCGCAGCAAAGTTTCTTTACACAAAGGAGGTAAAAGTTTCAATACATAGCAAATGTACCTTGGTACTGAGATCAGCAGAAATCACCTTAAATCGTCCCCGCTGAACAACTGCTCCATCTGAAGCATCCTCTGATACACAAGAGGCAAAGATAACAAGCAGAGTTCATTTGCGTCAAATAAGTAGCATCACTTCTATGCAGAAATGAAAGGTAATAAAACCAGGAAATACCAGATGAAGTGTTATTTGCTTCTCTCCTCTGGTGGTACAATGGACTGTAGTTGCATTCAAATGGAAATTTAGGCTGCGGGAAGTCCCTACAAAACAAAGTTGATAAAATTTAATATAAATTGGCATACAAAGCTTTGCCAGTAAAGTAAATGGTAATGATGACAGACAATTGTTCCTTTTAACTACATAATATAGGAACAATAACCAAGTAGAAAAGTCCCAGTGTACCACATTATACATCTAGGATTCCTCTAGACTTGCAATCCACAAAATCCAGAAATTCATCACATATAGAGTATGATAATGGGGAAAGATCATCCTATATTTCACGAAAAGTCATTTAAAGCAATGTTTGCTTGGTGATAACAGTTTAGGGTTCAGGGTAACTTCACTTAGAAGAAAGCTTACCTGTCCCCATCTCCAGTAACCTTGTTAGGAGAAAAGGCACTATCAGGTATTAGTGAACCGCTCAAGTACTTTTTAAGCTCTGGAATAACCTGACGTGTGAAAGAGCCACTTTGCCCAGAATTCTCACCCTCATGTCTTCCAGCATCTTGGTCCATGGGTCTTGATGACTTTGTATCACTTTCCAATGGCGTTACACCTTTCCAATTTGGACCATTTGCACCCTCACCTTCACCAATGTCAAAACAGCCTCTGCACCAATTAAAAAGTAGCCAAAAAAGAAACTAATTACCCAAAAACAATTACACTGGCAACCTTTCTTTTTTCAGACAAAAAATAGTTTAGTCTAATAGATAACATACATGTTCTTAAAATATATGAGAAGGATATGACAAAAAGCAGATAATTTTAAAATTAAATGACACTTGTGACAAGAGCTTCTTTCTATTTGAGACAATTACGACTCACAGGTCTTTTAAGTGTGACAAATGTGAATAAAAATGTCCTCTTAATCATGTTATAATAATGAATTGTTTCCATTAGTAAGGACATGCAAGCATAAAAATGCCATACTTGAGTGCCTGAAGTGGCTTAATAGGAAATGAAGCAAGTGAACTCTCCAAATCATGAAGATCATTAAGCCCATCCTGAAACAAGTAAAAGAGGATGTAAATCTGAAGTACAAGCTTAACCAAAGCATCAATTAACAACGAAAGGCCAACAACTTAATTGTATAGAAAGCATTTTAGGGTTATAACTGGTACCTCCTGGCTGCTTGCAGCAATGGAATTAGTAGTTTCAGAAGACGTCTTCTCAACTGATAATCCAATGACATCATTATGTTCCCTTTGTTTTCTGCTCCCATCTTGAGCTTCTGCATTTGGTGCATCATCATAATCTTGAATCTGCAGGTAAAACAGTCAGAAATTACAATGAAATTAAGATTATACAGCAGTTCTAGGACTACATTCAGATAAATAATAACAAAAACTTGCATGGGGAACTGAAACTACTTACAAGTGCAGCCTGACTTTTTAAGTCCTCTAGGTTGAAATTCCAAGCACTGATCCCTTTTATATACTCTTGCTGCAAGGTGAAAGGAATTCATATTCAATATGGTACCATGTAACCATGTAGTTTTTAATATACCATGGGCATTCATTAGTCAAAGTAAAGCTAGCTACAATAATTTCTTTTAACCTTTAAGACCTGAGATGGATGTGGAATGACAGCAAAAGACCAGTAGACCACTCAGAATATAAAACAAAAATACTAGTAAGACATGAAGGAAAGAAGCTAGCACTATCAGCTTTTGTTGAGAAATGTGAAAAGTTCCATTATTCACCTGTGATAATTGCTCCTTGTCCTCATAGAGAGCTTTATTCTGTACAAGAAGATCAGCTTCTTTTGTCTGAAACATAGAGTACCAGATCAGGGTTCCAAATTAATTCCTCATCTTAACAGATGTCATAACTCATAAGTTAAACAAAATGGGCATGTAAGAGACCTTTAGCACCCTAAAACGTTCACCTAATGGAGGAAGGCCATCAAGAATGGTACGAGGTAGATAATCATATGAGCGTGCATGCTTAAAGAAATGGTGCTTCAGAAGCTTCTCTGAAGTTGGACGTTTCTTTGGGTCCTTCACCAAGCAAGCAGCTACCAACTCCTTGAAAGACTAGAGAAATATAAATCTCTCACAATGTTACTATCAGATACTACAAGTAATACCATTCAGTAAGAAACAATCGAAGAGCACAAACCTTTGAGAACCTCTTGTCCCTTTCATAGTCTAGACCTGGAGGAGCATTTTGCAAGGTCATCAACAAAACCTGCACAAGAAATGGGATTAAACAACCATACTAAGAACTAAAAAAGGGTAACATAATACGTACAATAATCAACAGATATAACTATCAATCAACTATGATATTTACTTTCATCGGTGGATACTTGGAAAATGGGGCATGGCCATGAGCCAGTTCAAGAGCTGTTATTCCAAAAGACCAGATGTCTGCTCTGTAAACAAGAAGAAGAGGAAACAGAGTGAAAGGGTATAACAAAGAAAAAGAATTAAAAGAAATGAAAGGTACAATCAGAGAGGTCAACTCACTTGAAGTCATAACCATGCAATTGCTGCATAACTTCTGGAGCCATCCTGACATAGAAACAAGGAGACACATTGTGGTCATCATTAACTCTTGAAAATTGAAGTTCAACAATAAAAATACATATACAAGCAAAACCTCAGACAATTGCAGGGCCAAGGGAAAACAAATACCAGCAAGGAGTTCCAACAAAAGTATTTCTGGAACGCTGTCTGTCTCCAGTATCAAACATGCATGCTGATACTCCAAAGTCTGCCAACTTGACAGTACCATTAGAATCAATTAGGATATTCCCAGCCTGCGAATAAATGAGAAAAAATTCTGAACCTGAGTAGGAAGAAAACGAACAAGAACAAAATAACAGGCACTAAGCTATTGATACATGTAGCATAATTGGCATCCTACCTGACAACGAAACAAAAAGAAGTAATATTGAACTAATAGACTACCATTGATTTTAACCTCAATGCTACATGATACAATCTAATTGGAGTGGAGCTAGCCTCACCACCCATCTAAAAGGGCCTAAGGGATTCAATAGTATGTAACAGTAGCATAAGGTTTCACTACAGAATGAAGATGCAAGTTTTCCTGCAGTTCTCATACATTCTCAATTACATTATAAGAACCACAAGTTATTCATATCGATAGTTAAAAAATATAGCTTAAGCCGTGTCTTTACAGAAGACAGTCCAAACCTAAAAGGCTTGGTGTCAAAAAACAAAATATTTGCAGAAATAAACAAGAAAAAACACAACATAAAAATAAAAAGGGGCAATTAGAAACCTTAACATCTCTGTGAATGTGCCCATGAGCGTGAAGATAAACAAGAGCTTTAAGAACTTCACGCAACAAAGTAGCAATGACAGGCTCTTCAAAACCTTCGGGATAAGAAGATTTTATTATATGCAGGCAGGAACCCCCAGCCATGTATGGCATCACAACCCAAAGGTTGTGACCGCTAGCAAATGAACAATGTGCACGTAGTAAATTTGGGTGATCAATCAAACTCATGGTCTGGACCTCTCTTCGAATGCCATCCTGCATAATTCAAGAGCAGAACTCTTATGTTGATGTTAACTCTCTATGCCATAGAGTTGCAGGGACTTGCAAGAGAAATGCATAAGTAAATAAAATCCCCAAGCAATAGATTATGAAATACCATACTTACCAGGTCATTATTGCACCTTTCCAAATCAAGAACCTTGATTGCAACAATTTCATTAAGTGGAACGCATAAAGCTCTGTGCACAGTGGCGCTGACACCTTCTCCAACTTCTTCATATAACTTATAATCATTCGCATTGACTGGAAATCGTTTCTCCAAAGGATGCTCCATGACTTCTTTTCAGAGCATACCATTAACAACCTCCCTCTTTACTCCTATATGTTCCGATTAACAAAAGCACACATTCAACTGAAGATTTGACTGTCAATCCATTGCGGAGCTTCTTCCAATCAGGTAGCATTTTTTTTCTTTAACACGCAGCAGTAGACAAGTTCACTGACTTCATCAAGGTAACAGGCTTACCAAGTCCGTTTCCATGAATGCAGAAACAATATAAACCCAATTCCCAGTTAATAGCAGAAAAGACCTTGCATATCACTCCAGGTACTCTGCCAGTGAACTATGAATGAGCAGAGGCTAGTTAGCAAAGCCTATGAGAAAAGTGACTTTCCCCAGATGGCAAATTGAAACCTAAATACTAGCAATATTTGTATGGCACGAAGCCAGTAGATGCAGTCGAAATCTAACCAAGAATCAAAATGCACGGAAGGTAGTTGGTAGAAGGGTAGTTTTAACCTGTACAAACCCCAATAAAGAATTGAATTAGTTCTTCTTTATAGGTAGACCCCCTTTTGCCCTCAAAGAATTAAAACAAATAAGCAAAAAATACCTTTCTACAGAAATCAAAACTATTAGATGCTATAGAAGAAAAAATTCCAATAAAAAACATGGAAATTTAACACCCTTCTTTACAACAATTAATTTTATGAATAAGTAAAAACAACTAGTTCCTTTTTTCAGATTTTAAACAACAATTCAAAAATAGCCTAAATTGTAACTATAACAGCAAATTCTAACTGATTAACTATAAAATAACATCGCATTAAAAAAATAAGTCTACAAAGCTTCCACATTTTCACTACAGAACAACTAATCTAATACTAAAAGCACAATCAAAGTTCATCGATTCAAAACAACTAACTAAAAGTTCATAAATATATATACATATATAAGTAAGATAAACTTATTCACAGATTTAATACAAACCTAGGGTTTCAGCATTTTCAAATCCGAGTTGAATCGGAAAACACGAATACAAAATTTGCATTAAACAAATCGAAACCCAATCCCCACCACCTCAAGTCGATTTAAGATTCCCTTCAATTCTCTTCTTCTTCTCTTTCTCCTTCTCCACTTCTTCTTCAAAGACGACTCTAACAATGACGATTTGGCAATGATAATTATTGGTCGACAAATATTATAAACTTTAATAAATAATTATATTAGTTTTTATATTTAAAAATCGGAGTAAAATAAGAGAAACTGGTTAAATGAGAGGGATATATATATATATATATTAGTAAGACCGAAGAAGGTCAAGTTCGATGCAAACTGAAGTGGAACCCGACCCGAATGAATTGAGATTTTTGTTTCAGTAGGTCAAAAAATCTCTGTTGGGCGGGTCGTGATTTTATCGGGCTTAGGGATAGCAAAAAAATTCGAATCAGATAGGGAAAATCGAAAATCGAATTTAACGGGTCGGATTCGGGATGATAAACGGGGATGGGGACGGAGACGGGGAAAATCCGTTTATGTTAAACGGGGACGGGTTTGGTAATTCCCGCCCCGATTACCCGGCCCGATACCCGACCCGATAAATATTAAAAATAATTATTTTTTATATATAATATTAATAACATATTTTAAATTAACCCTTAAATATTTTTTATTATTTTTTTCACCCCATACTGCCCCACTTTAAAACATCGTTCCCGCTTCAATTTCTAGAATTTACCTCAATTTTCGTTGTCTCATAATATTCTTTTTTTCTTTTAATAGTGAAAATAGTGTTTACACTTATTGTTTGCAATCATGTGTGAACCTTTAATATCTTTTAATAGACAAACATTGTCTAATTAAATGGGAAAAGTATGGTTGGTTGCTGGTATTGTGCCACTTCCAACGAATGTGTACTTGTTGCACGGTCCTCGTCCAGTACACCATTACACACCTGAAGCCCACCACTAGCATTGGCAAGCTGGAAATTATGTCCAGCAAAATTTAAAATCAATGCAACTTGCATATTGTCTTCGTCTCTTCGACAACAACCCTCATTTTCACCTCGCATTCAAATAACCTCATACAAGCTGTCTCTATTACTCAAGCTTTAACGTTCCTCTGACAAAGCGAAACATGTGAATTAGCCATATTAAAATCAGCCTTGGGACCTATACCAACATCACGTTCTTCCCTAGCAAATGGAACAGCAGCTGCTCTCTAGTATTAAATTCGAAAATTCTAAAAAATTTCGGTTAATTCAAAAATTAACCGAAATTTATTCGGTTCGGTTAATATTTTCGAAAAAAAAATTTGGTTCGATTAACGGTTAAAGAAAAAAAATTCGGTTAATTCGGTTAATGGTAGTTCGGTCGGTTCGGCCACCGAATTAACCGAATGAACAACCCTACCGATACTCATTTAAATAAACGTTTATGCTAAACGGGGATACCCGTTTCCCTGCGGTTTTTCCCGATTACCCGATGGGATCCCCGTTTAAATCTCCGCAGTTTTTTAAACGGGAACGGGTACCGATTTTTTAAACGGAGACGGGAGACCAATACCCGACCCGAACCCGACCCGTTACCATCCCTAATCAGGCCAATTTATCGGAGGAGACAAAAGAGGGGGAATGATTTGCCATCAACCTTCTCTTACCTCAAGAATGGCTTCAATAATTCTCTTTAAGAATGGTCAGTGATAAATTAAGAAATTTTTTTAAGAATAGAAATACATAAATTAATAATAATTTTTTTTATATAGGATGAATATAAATAAAATTTCAGAATAGATATCATTAGTAAAATGAATAATTAACAAAAAAATTTAGATTTCAAAATAAACACATATCTATCTCGAATAATCTTTACATCTACCATTGTACCTAATTGCTTAGGTTAATATTTATAACATTGAATCAAACCAAATCGGGTGAATTTAATTTAAATGAAAATTGTTAATAAAATCCTAGATTGAAAAGTAAACGCATTAAGATTTTGGTTTCATGCAAAAATAAGTGTTGAAATTAACGTTTTCGAAGTTACACTTTTAGGTGTCTGGGCTGTTATCATCATTAAATTTGACAATTAAGTGACACGTGTTAGACTTATAAAAATTTAAAAAAATATTTTAAAAAATTCAAATTTTATATGTCTGACACGTGTCACTTAACAACTGAATTTAACAATATTAATGATCTAAACATCTAAAAGTGTAACATTGAAAACGTTAGCCACCTATTTTTAACGAAAATTTTTTTAAACACCTAAAATTAACTTTAAGTATAGTTTGATCACTTATTTTTACATTAAGTCTAAGATTTTTGATGTCTCAAATTCGAGTTTTAACATTTTAAATTTATATTTCTTGTACTATAATATTAAATTATACGAATATAATTTAAATTATCATTAGAATTATAAGAATTCTAAACTGAGCCTATATTTATATGAATCAATATTATTACATTCCACTCCTGCTTTTGCTACAATATTATTGCATTCGAACCCTAAACATTGGAGGGACCAATCACGATGCATCGGTTGATTTCCGGGACTTCAGCACATCGGTCGACGACCGTACGAGAATCTTGATTATCATGGTCTAACATAACAGGAAAGAATCTTGATTTTAATAGGGGGGGGGAACATAATTATAGATGTTTCTCTTGTTTTCACAAGTTAATTGTTGATCGGATCTCTATCGTACACACCGAAACCACAAATCCCTGAAGTCAGAAGGTGTGCTTAGGATCCCGTAAAGAACTTGCGTGCTTCCCGGTAGCGATCTAATACAACATTATAGAGGGGGTGGATGGGTTCCAGAAGATTCGAATACGTACCCAACACGGCACGAGGCAAGGGCGGAGAATCCTCGCTTTCCGACCAGCTACGTTGACACACTGAAAGGCCACTTAAACAGTAACATGTGTGATAATGGTCTCTCGACTTACCGGGTTTGTCTCTCAGTCCACCATTCAGATCCTGATATCATTACAGCAGGTATATGAGGCTTAAGTTGATTCCATGTTCAAGGACTTAAGTTTTGACAAATTACTGAATTAGAAAGGAAAAGATATGGCTGAGAGTCCCTATACTACAATGAAGTTTGGAATTTAGTCCCTGCACTTAAAAAATTCCTTTGCTTTTTCAATTAGAAAAACAGAGTCCAATCACAGACAATATTAGCTTTTTTCGTAGAAAGTTGCCATCACGGATGTGTAATCATACCAGTTTCAGAAGCAAAATCATTACAAACTCAGCAAGCATATCTTAAAGCAAACAAATTTTGACAAAAAATATAATAACAGTGTCAATGGTTGGACTAGAATTTTTAAATCGAAAAAATAAACGGAGTTTAATCCTCAACTTTTTAAGTGCAGAGACTAAATCTCAAACTTTTCCAAAGTACAGGGACCGATTATATTTTGACCAATTAGAACCCCTAACTGAATCAATTATGTTTGAATGTAAAACCTGTGAGCATAAAAGAATGTACTGCTGCAAGGCCAAGCTGTTAAAAAGAGGCTCCACTTTTGCATGCCCCTTACTAGAATAGGGATGGACATTGTCAACATTTACTCGAGACGAAGTATCATGTTGATCTGCCAAAAACGAAAGAAGCTACATTAAAATACAGTTCTCATGAATTGCAAGGAAACCAAGAAAAAGAGTCGCGTAGCTCCTTTCATGGTATGGCTGCCACCTTGAGATAAATCCTCATTCAAACCTTCTTCTCTTGTAGCATCTGTTGATGCTGTAATTTGCGGGCTTTCTGGACCACTATCTTCTCCATCTCCCAATGGTATTGATTTTTCTCCTCTAGTAGAATTTAATCTTTTTAACAATGCAAATATTCCTCCCTGATCAATTCCCTCAGTTATTTTTATTTCAACTCGTTCGAAACCTGATTACCTGAATTAGATAAAAGAGAAATAGAATATCACCTGCCAGAATGAGTAACAACCATCAACCAGTTAATTAGTTCTGCCCTGAAATCCACCCTCTACTCCTTGCCGGAAAGCCACCCAATCCAATAGAAGAACTCGGATTAGAGAATGCTATCAAAGTTTGTATGAAGGTAATAAACATGAATTGATCTTACAATTAAGCTAGACAAATCCAGACGATCAACCTCGTTGATTAGAATCATCGTAGCCAACCCACAAAAGGTGTACCTGACAAAAAAATTAACAGAACTTCAGGAAGCTTTCTCATACCGGATATCGACAATTCCAAAGCAACATATTAGTATATAGTATACATGGAGAAGTAAACAATGAATCAAATTTCAAGGGATGGTATTTAATTTATAATTTGAGAGAAATAGTGAGAATAGAGCAGAACATACCCCCCATGAGCTTCAGAACCAGGTTCCCCAGAAATGCCACCTTCATAAGTCTGTCAACTTCAAAAAGATGAAAAAACAATTTCAGTCACATGGATGACACAACAGGAATCAAGACACAGCTCGGCTATACATTAAGAATATGCATTCAGACCAAGGCCGATGCATTCCATGATATTATTTTAACATATATACCGAAGACCAAGTCCAGTGATGCCATTGAAGCAGAGAGAAAATGGCGTACTAATAGCGAGTAGGGACACTAAGAGCTTTCTTTTTTCATTTTGGTATTTAATGTTGCGAGGGATGGACCCTGGTCACTGAAACAAAGTGGCTAGCACTCTATGAACAGACAACACAGCTATTGGCAACACTAAGAGAGTATGAATTTTCCTTGGATATAACAGTATATTCATCCTAAACGAAGCACATCACTCAGTCCCGATAAGCATCCAGGTTTACCACAACTTCAGAAGAATAGAAAGTGAAGAACACAATAAAAACACATTGAGGTTCTGGTCTCTCTTTGCACTATTAAAGATTATGAGACCCCAACTGATTGATTCTTTCCTGAGATGTTCAGATAAAGCAGTAGAATTGCAGAATGAGGAATATGAGTAGAGCTTCCAACCTTGAAGCACCTAAGATGACGGTTTAACAAATTTTACGAATGCCACACCCATAAATGCTCTTTCTAGAAGCAACAAAACATAGAAAATGGACATGGAAAACAATTAACCTAAAACAGATTTTAAGACGAAGAATGGGAAATAAAAATTAGCTGCCTTAAATAACTACCT